GTCTTTTTTCGTGTCCGGCAACGGATCGCAACCCTCAGTGTCGTGCCCGTACCGGACCGGGACCGGCAACGGGATCACAACCCTCGGCGCTGCGCCCACACCTCGCTCAGCCAGTGAGCGGGAACCGGTCTGTATGTGGGATCAGAACCCTCGGCGGGAGCGCCACCGTGCTCTCAAGCGGCGCACTGTAGCAGTGCGCCACCGGGCCGGCCCGGATTCTGTTTTTTCTGCTTTCATTTCTTGACCCTAATAATAATTTTGGGGATACACATAATTTTGAGGAGGATTATAGGCCAGTTCTGATCATAGATACAAGTGACCATTCTATCCCAGCACCCTGATTGGGTATCTGCTCTGAGCCCTGCTTTCAGGAATATAAGCTATCAATAAAGAGACAACTATTGCCAGGACACCATTCACCTTTGGGGCTTGTGTTGCAGGGCGCCAACTACTGCGATTCCAGGAAGATCTCATCTCCTCTGCTGTGGCCGAGTTGAATTATGGACTCTGTCTAATGACAAGGGAAGCTCGAAATGGAGAAGGTGAACCCTATGACCCAGATGTGCTCTACTATATTTTCCTGTGTATTCAAAAGGTAGGAAATAGATCTTCACAGAGACATGTTTGAGGTATGTTCCCACTGTATGTTTGCTGGCTAGTCTAGTTAGTAAAGTGACAGGCAAAAGGTTAGAATAAGGACATCCTCTTTCAGCTATGTAATGAGTTTTAAAATATACATTTTTCTAAATTACAGAGACCTTCCTGTTCACTTTAGAAAATAAAATAAGTAAACAAACACTATCCATAATCTTACCAGCTGGAGAAACTGCTGTTAAAATATTTGGTAATTAGGGCTGGCCCGGTGGCGCACTGGAGAGTGCGCCGCCTGGGAGCGCGGTGGCGCTCCCGCCGAGGGTTCGGATCCCATGTGGAGACCGGTTCCCGCTCACTGGTTGAGCGTGGTGCGGGCGCAACACCGAGGGTTGCGATCCCGTTGCCGGTCCCCGGTGCGGGCGCGACACTGAGGGTTGCGATCCCGTTACCGGTCAGTAAAAAAGACAAAAAGGAAAAAAAAATTTGGTAATTATCTTAACAGCCATTTTTTTTCCAAATCACAAAGCATAAATGTACTATATTTTTGTTAAAGTAAACATACGGTTTTTATAAAAATAATTTATCCAAAACAAACTCTGGTGCTGACACACAGCTTTCTTATTGTTTCCTTCATTGACACAAAATAATTATTTAAAAGAGTCTAGCTGGAATAATATACAAATGTAGTTGGATTTTTAGGATGTCTAAGGTGAAGCATAACAGAAACCTGTAAACTGGCAGTTTGGGGAAGCAGTGTTAGATTTCTTAGTATTCAAAAGCTCTTGAGGAGAAGCCCCCAGGTGTGGTTGAAGAGGGCCTGCTGGTTGGGACTCTCTGTTGCGTGATCCTGAGAAAAGTCTGCCTCCTAGTTTGTTCCTCTTTCTTGCTGGTCTTAACTCAGGTATCATGTGAATTGCTTTATGTGTTCTGCCTCATTCCATGCTTTCCTGAGTCCTGGAAGGCTGTCACAGTCATTTCCATTTTCAGACAAGGAAACCGACCCCCATAAGTTAAAAGACTTGCAAGTGTTGTTTAACTTATACATTACCTAATAAGAGTAAGCCCCAGAGCCTAACCATGATTTTTGCTACCACAAGACAATGCCTTGCTTGGATGAAGTAGCCATTCACAGAATATGTCTTATTAACCTAACTCTCATGAATGTTGTGAGAATGAGGTCATGTGACCTGAAGCTTGCCATGGAAGTGTCACATTCTGGACAGTTTTGACCTAGTGCCTAGGTTTGTTTGGGGTGGAGGGATGCGGGATGAGTAGGGAGCTGTGGTGGTGCTGGTATTAAAGTATGTTTATTTCCCCTGAAACTTTTACCTAGACTACCAATAACTTTTATTAATTGTTTTCCTTTTAGTATCTTTTTGAAAATGGAAGGGTAGATGACATTTTCTCTGATCTTTATTATGTTCGATTCACGGAGTGGCTACATGAAGTTCTGAAGGATGTTCAGCCCCGGGTCACTCCACTTGGTAAGAGTCTCCCTTGTCCTTGAATTTCTTTCCTACCTTGGTTTAAAAAAGATTTGCAACTTCTGTGGCTGGCTAAAATATAGTGTGTAGGCAAGGGGGCTGTAAATCCTAGGCAGCAGCATTAGCCTCTGTGCTGCTTGGCGTGATGTGGAAGGGGTACTACTCACCAGAGAACCCTGCTGGTCCTGGTGTGACAAAGACACAAGGGCATGCAGAAAGTAGTGGTATAGTTACTATCTTTTTTTTTCTGTTATAACTTGTTGATTAAAATTAGAGTCATTGCTGGCACTTTCACAGGTGCTCTCCAGGCAGTGGGGCCAGGATTTGGTAATTGGTGCTAAGAGAAAACCCTTGATTTCATCCTTGCCTTGGGGGACTGTACCAGTAGCAGCTGTCACTCAATGGGACAGAGAAAGAATTAAAATTATTACAATTATGAATTGTGAACAGTTTCAACTATAGAACATAATTTTTGCTTTACCCACAGGTTAGCTTCCTGGGCAGCATGTTATGTTGAAAAAAATATAGGCTTTTCAGTAGAATATCTGAGTTGCGTGTTTTTTTTGTTTTTGTTTTTAATAGACTTTGTTTTTGTAGATGAGTTTTAGATTTCCAGAAAAATTGAGTAGAAAATATAGAGAATACCTATATACCCTCTTGCATGTACACTTTTTAACACCCAGTTTCCCATGTTATTAACATGTTGCATTAGTGTGGTACATTTGTTACAATTGACGAACCAATACTGGTAAATTATTATTAACTAAAGTTCATAGTTTGCATCAGGGTTTATGTATTGTGTTGTGCATTCTGTGGGTTTCTATAAATGTATGATAACATGTATCCTCCAGTATGGTATCATAAGAATCTTTCACTGCCCTAAAAATCCTGTTCTCTACCTATTCATTCCCTCCCTTCCTCCACCTGAGCTTCTGGCAACCACTGATCTTTTTATTGTCTCCATAGTTTTGCCTTTTCCAGAATGTCATATAGTTGGAATAATTTGGTATGTAGCCTTTTTAGACTGACTTATTAGCACTGACTTATATTCCATTGTATGGATGTACCACACACAGTTTGTTTATCCATTCACCTATTGAAGGACATCTCATCTTCATTGCTTCTAAGTGTTGGCAGTTATGAATAAAGCTGCTATAAACATTTTTGTGCAGGTTTTTGGCGAAGGAATAGACGGATAGATCAATGGAAGAGAACAGAGAACCCAGAGATAGATCCACACAAACGTAAATTTATCTTTGACAAAGGAGAAAGGATGGACTCTTTTAACAAATGGTGCGAGAACAACTGGACATCCACTTACAAAAAAATGAATCCAGACACAGACCTTAAATCTCTCACAAAAATTAACTGAAAATGGATCATAGACCTAAATGTGAAATTCAAAACTCTAAAAGTCTTAGAAGATAACAGGAGAAAATTAGGTGACTTTGGGTTTGATGGTTACATTTTAGATACAATATCAAAAGCAGTTTTCTGTGAAAGAAAAAATTGGTAAGTTGAACTGTATTAAAATTTAAAACTTAAGTTCTGCAAAAGATACTCTTAATAGATGAAAAGACAAGCTAGACTGGAAAAAGTTCTTTGTAAAGCACATATATGATAAAGGACTGGTATCTAAAGTATACAAAATTCTTGGGGGAGCATGGTGCTGGTAACAACCAAGGTCACGGGTTCGGATCCCCATACCATACAGCTGCTCCCCCCAAAAAGTAATTCTTCAAACTCAACAAGAAAACAACCGGATTTAAAAATGGGCAAGGTTGGGGCCGGCCCGGTGGCGCACTGCTATAGTGCGCCGCTTGGGAGCGCAGCGGTGCTCTTGCCGAGGGTTCGGATCCCACATACAGACCGGCCGCTCACTGGCTGAGCGAGGTGCGGGCGAACCACTGAGGGTTGCGATCCCGTTGCCGGTCCCGGTCCGGTACGGGCGCGACACTGAGGGTTGCGATCCGTTGCCGGTCACGAAAAAAGACAAAAAGGGGGAAAAAAAAATGGGCAAGGGCCGAGCCCGTGGCGCACTCGGGAGAGTGCGGAGCTGGTTGTGCAGCAGCGCTCCTGCCGCGGGTTCGGATGGCTGGTGTGCTCATAGCGCTCACTGGCTGAGCGCGGTGCAGCCGGTCTCAAAAAGGACAAAAAAAATAAATAAATAAATAAAAATAAAAATGGGCAAAATATCTGAACAGATACCTCACCAAAGAAGATACACAGATGAAAAGATGCTCATCATCACATATCAGGAAGTTACAAATTAGAACAAAAATGAGATACCACTGTGCACTTATTAGAATGGCTAAATTCCAAAACACCAGTGTTAATCCTGGTTCTGCCATTTATTGAAATGTTATGCTGCTTAAAAATATATATTGGTTAAACAAAAATTTTTTTGAGTGCCTGCTATGTACCGAGCAGTATTCCAGGTGCCAGGGAATATAATATAGCAATGAAGAAAATGGTGCTTATAGTTTAATAAGGAGAAACAGTGTATATATAAGCAAAATAAGTGTTTTGAAGAACAGCACAAGGGAGTGGAAAGTGTTAAGGACATTAGGGAGGCCTCTCTGAGGGACTATCATTAGAACAGAAATGAGTGAGTGAGTCACAATTTACATGATTTGTAAATTTTCAAGCCAAGTGTGGACATGCAAAATTCACTCTTTTTGCCTTTTATTATGGAAATTTCAAGCATATATAAAAGTAAACAGAATAGATTAAAGAGCCCCCATGTACACATTGTCCATGGCAAATCTTTTTTCATATATACCACCACCTGCTTCTACCCTCCTATATTATTTTGAAGTAAATTCCAGACATTTTACCCATGAATACTTTGATATGTATTCCTGACATAGCACAATGCTATCATCATAATTTGAAGAGGGGAAAAAAAAAACAGACCCAAAAGTAATTACATATAGTCATCAGGATCTATCCTGTATTCACATTTCTAATATTCTCATTATTTATTTATTTATTTTTGGCTTATCTGAATCAAGGCGAAAATATGGTCCATATTTTGAAGTTGGCTATGTCTTTTAATATTTAGTCTTAATTTTTAATTTTCTCCTTCATTTTTTCTCTTCTTACTTATTTATGGAAGAAATTAGCCTTAACTTTAAATTGTCACACAGTCTAATTTTTGCTTATTGCATCCCTGTGGTGGTGCTTAACATATTCTTTTGTCCCCTATATTTACAGTTGATTGTTAATTGCATATAAACATTACTCAGGTTTTTGTGTGGGGTTTTTTGGCAAGGATACTTCATTGGTGACTTTTCCTTCATCATGATGCCCATAATTCATTAATTCATTACAGGTTCCAAAACAGTATTCTAATGTTATTACTTCTAATTATTAGTTGAAATATAAAGCTTCGTTTCCTCAACTCTCTTGATTCTAGCAGTACAGATTATGTGAAAGAGGCAGGATAAGGGCTTCTTTCTTTTCCTTTGTTTACCACTTTTCACAGTAATGAGTTGGTTCACCAGCTACCCCCCCGTGATGACCAATTAGGTTTTTTTTGTTTGTAAAGTCATGAATTTCAACATATTTGATGTGATTTAGTCCATTACAGTTATCTTTACTGATGTGCAAATTGTCCTAAAGAGGTCATTTGGAGCCTCTTTAAATTGTCCCCTAAGTCCTTTTGACACAGCCTGAGTAGTCTTTGATAATTTCCTTGATTTCTTTTTTTTTATTCTAAAAAGATGACCAGTAAGGGGATCTTAACCCTTGACTTGGTGTTGTCAGCACCACGCTCAGCCAGTGAGCTAACCGGTCATCCCTATATAGGATCCAAACTCGTGGTCTTGGTGTTATTAGCACCATACTCTCCTGAGTGAGCCACCGGCCGTCCCATAACTTCCTCAGTTTCTGATTTGACAGAATGTTCCATCTCATCTTGGAAATTTCTTGTCCTAATGTGGAATCCATCTGTTCTCCATGAAGCTGGTTCCCTTTAATGGGAAATGATATTTCAGTACCACAGTCTAGATGATAGGGGTGCTCATTGCTCCTGGGTTGGTCATTGTTTCTAGGCCCTTCAGTGGGCAGAACTAAAAAATCTTTTTGAAGATAAAATATATCATTTTGATGCTTGCAGTTCAGATTCAGAACTACAAGGCTTTTATATAATGTTTTTATCTATATCTCCTTTCTTCCATACCAGGAGTCCTGGTTCTCAGGCATTAAAGTTTATTTTATATTGAACGTGGCTGGTTAGCTAAATTGCTAGTGCAGCCTTATAACCACAAGGTCATGGGTTCAGATCCCCTTACTGGCCAGCTGCCAAAAATAAATAGTGTTGTTTAGAAGAGAGTAAAGTTAGGGATGAGTTAGGGAAGTGACATCAGAGAGGGCAGATAGCATAGTGGATCTAGAGAACTGGTACATGCCAAAGTATGCCTGGAATTGCTTCTAGGAGATGGTCTTTCCTGAGGAGAGCAGTCTTCTGCTACTTGTCCTGCATCTCAGGGGCTTCAGATATGTCTGAGAGAAGGAAAGCTTTTCCCATTACCACTGGACCACATAATACTCAAAGGGTGGACAAGAATAAAGCTAGACCTTCCTTAAAGAGACAGAAATACACTTAATGTAGTCAGAGGGCCAGTTTTGGCAAGAATAAAGAGGAGTGTATTGGACAGAATGTTCCTTTTCCTGTTTCCAGGAAATGTCACCCTCATAGCCCACCTGGAGAATCCTGAAACCCTACAGAAGAATGTTGGTGTCTGCTGCTATCTCACCATGCTCCCAGTGCACAAACACTTGCATATGAAAAGGGCTTCAGAGTGGTCAAAGTGTCAGCTTTCTTTGGTGCAGTCCTGGCTGCCCAGGGCTCTTGTTGAGACCATTGGCCTTTGTCCTTGCCCAGCTCTGGGTTTGCTTATGAACCAGGGTCTTACAGTAACACTTGCCCTGGGGGAAACTTATAATAGTTGAAATAATCAGTCTACCCTTTATCCGGAGAAGGGATGAGAATGGGCTTGCCTTCTAGAGACAGTAGACATTAGAGAAGGTTTGGTAAGGGCAAACGGGCATGCATACCAATTTTGGGGGGGCCTAGACACTTTTTAAAATATGATGTGAAAGTTCTATCTGTATATGTACAGAGTTTGGTTTATAGTTTTAGGTATTTTACTCTTCCTGAGGGCAATCCTTTTGCTCCATATTATCCTTGAATTAGAGGAAGAATTTGTCAGGTAACAACACTCATGTAAGGTAATGATGGTTTCATCAACCAAACTCAAAGTGAGGTTTCTCACAGCAGCAGCATCACCTTGGAACTTGTTAGAAATGCTCATTGTTAGGGCCAGCCCGTGGCTCACTTGGGAGAGTGTGGTGCTGATAACACCAAGGCCACGGATTCAGATTCCCTATATAGGGATGGCCAGTGGCTCACTTGGGAGAGCGTGGTGCTGACAACACTGAGTCAAGGGTTATGACCTTACCGGTCATCTTTTAAAAAAGAAAAAGAAAGAAATGCTCGTTGTCAGGTCCCATCCCAGAAACTTGGTTTGGGACCCAGTCATCTGTGTTTTAACAGGCTTTCTAGATGGTTTTGCCACACCCTAGGGAGACTTCCCTGATTACACTTAATATTCCTGTGTGGTCCTTGTGTCTCACCCCTCCTCCTGTGCCTTTGAAGGACCACCTGCCATTCTCTTGTTATAGCGGTACTCTTCCTCCTAGGCTATGTCCTTCCCAGCCACGTGACTGAGGAGATGCTGTGGGAGTGCAAGCAGCTTGGAGCTCACTCCCCCTCCACCCTGCTGACCACCCTCATGTTCTTTAACACCAAGTAAGTGTTCTTGAGGCCCCAGGCTTAGCCACTGCTGGTGTCTGCCCAGCGAAGAGGGTGGAAACTACTCAAGAGGACTTCTGAATTCCTCTGACACATACTTGAGAGCTTTTGGGCTACTGAAAGCCCCCAACCCCATTTGGCTACATTTTGTGTGGTGACCAGTGAGGCAAACAGCCTTGCCAGACCCCTACCATTCAACTTTTGATGTGGCTCCTCCACTGGACACTGAGCTTTGGTATGGCCCTGCCCAGATCCTTGGAGTGTGGGTAGTGGCTCCTCTGAAGCACCAATGAGTGGAGAGTAATTCATGGTTTCCTCCTTGCACCCCTCCCTCTGCCTTGCTTTCACTTGCGGTCCAGGTACTTCCTGTTGAAGACAGTGGATCAGCACATGAAGCTGGCGTTCTCCAAGGTCTTGAGGCAGACAAAGAAGAACCCCTCTAATCCCAAGGATAAAAGCACAAGTATCCGATACCTGAAGGCCCTTGGGATACACCAGACTGGCCAGAAAGGTAGGGGAAGGAGGCAGGGACAGCAGTATTAGGTGCTACCTGTTCTGCTCTGCCTTTGTGCCTGCAAGACTAGTGATGAGTGTGAAGGTTCGGGTTTGATGGGTAGGAATTTACCACTGACTTCTCCCCAGCCAAAAACTTCAAACTTTTCTCCTAGAAGCAGAGAGTCCCCAGAGAAAATAGCTGTCTCTTCCCTTCATAGTCACTGCCCCTGCTTCATACCTTTCCTCCCTCTACCCAGTATTTCCTAGTTGGGGTTGCTGAAAGCCTAAGGTCCCTGATCTGGATTGAGCTAAGGTCTGTGGTGGTTGGGGGTGTGTTTTATAGTTACAGATGACATGTATGCAGAACAGACAGAAAATCCAGAGAATCCACTGAGGTGTCCCATCAAGCTCTACGATTTCTACCTCTTCAAATGGTGAGGAGGCTTTATTTTGACTGACTAATCTTGTGTATGTGTGTGCACGTGAGGATGTTCACTTGCGTTCTTATGTTATTACGGGAAGGAGGCATTCTCTTGTCCCAACTGGGAGTAAAAACAGATCCAGAAAGCTAAATATAGAATTAGTATTGCTAGCTTTTTAAAAGTATGTGATATAAAAAGGGGCAAAAGTCCAGAGAAGTCACCTTCATCACATACTAAGCATGGCCCTGTATCTTCGTGACCTTGACCTTTTGTCACTGCCACCATCAGTCTAGGGGAGACTCATTTTCTCAGGTTTTGCTCCCTCTTGCCCCTGCAGATTGGCATGTTCTCTTCACAGCAATGCCAGAATGATCTTTCTAGGTTGCAGATCTTAGCATGTCACTTAGATTAAATCTTCAGTGGTTACTCATTACTCCACAGAGTAATCTTTACATGGTGGACAAGGTCTTTTGTGCACTCTCCCTTGCTAACTTTATGTCCCTGGAGTTCTTGGCTCTAGCCACACTAGCTCATCTCCACTCAAGGGCATGATGCTGTCTTCTCAACTTAAACAGCTTTATAAGGGAAGCATTTCCTTTCCAGATTCCCTTATTCCCTCTGGCTGTTTTCTCTGTAGCACTTACCACTATTTGTCATTTTGTGTGTATTTGTGTAAATATTTATTTGTTGTCTCCCCTCTTTTCTGTAAGCTTAATGAGGTAGGAACTATTGTTCCTGCTTATTTCTTTAACATTAGCACCTAATGCTAACCTGGCATGCAGTAGGCCCTTGATAAATCTTGAATGGATGGGTGAATAACTTAGAGGATGGAGTGTGCTAAAGTATTTAAATAGAGTTACAACACAATGGCGGGGGGCCAGGGGTGGTGGTTGAGCTCAGACAAGGGCGATTATTATTAGCTAGAGAAAACAACATGAATAAAGACTTGGATATACGCCTTCTGGGCAGTGAAGTTGGCTGCAAGTAGAATGTGGACGGACTCTTGTAGATGAGCCCAAGGGAGCCCTAGGCAGGTGCAGTCAGTGATGGATCACAGCTGGCACATATGAAGACGGGGAAGAAGGAGGCAACCTGTCACTGGCATTTGCAGTAGCCCCAAAGGAGGTCCTGAAGGTAGTGTGTGATTGGCTATGTGGAATTCAGTAGCTGTGCCACCATACCTTCCAGAGCTGCTGCCTTCCCAGTTTTTGCAGACAGCATCTGTTGGAGAAATTCAAGGTGGGAGGGTTGAGGTTGTAGTGGTGTTACCCAGCTTTTACTGACCTATTCTTTAGCCCCCAGAGTGTGAAAGGCCGGAATGACACCTTTTACCTGACACCGGAGCCAGTGGTGGCCCCCAACAGCCCAATCTGGTACTCAGTCCAGCCTATCAGCAGAGAGCAGATGGGACAAATGCTGACCCGGATCCTGGTGATACGAGAAATTCAAGAGGCCATTGCGGTGGCCAGTGCAAGCACCATGCACTGAGATGTCTCACCATGGTGCAAGAGAAACCAGCCAGGAAAAAACCAGACAGACTTTCACACTAAAGAAGAGGCCTCCATTTTTCTTTTTTCTTTTTTTATTGGTGTAGTTATGAAGCCTTTCAGGCTGCTTCTGTTTAAAATGTAAAAGAAAACTGCCCCCTTTGCATCTTCATAAACCTGCAGCAGCAGACTCCCCAGCCCATGGGGGTTCTGGGTTTCCCGAGAGCCGGATGTCCTAGAAAGTTGTTGGCTGACGTTTTCTGTTTTGTTTGGGGCCTGGGGAAAGGGCTTGGACTGTTAGGAGAAATGTAGCCCCTTCCCTTTCTCAAAAAAGATGAAATTAATGATGGATGGACCCTCCGGGGAATCTCCCCAGCTCGCTTCTGCCCTGGACTGGCAGACTTTGCTAACTACAGGGGAGCCACGTTCTTTCTTCATGCTCAGACATAAACTTAGCATCTTAATGGAAGGAAAATGAGGGGGACTTCAATTATGATTTATTAAAGACAATTTCTATTACACCCTCCTTTATGACAAGTGACATTTTAGATGTTAAAGTAAAAACTTTACCATGCTTTTTTTTTTTTTTTTTTTTTTGGCCTAACATTGAGGCCTTAAACCTGAGGCTCCTGTGCCTGATGGAATTCTTGTAACATACACTTGTGTATCATATAAAAATACCACTCTGTTTCTCTTATGTATTCTTACTCTAGTTGTTTATTAAGAATGACAAGCACGTCTTTTCAACGTTTTAGTGAACAACGCCTCTTTATTTGGGGAGGAGCCTGGCGGGACAGTGGAAGCAAACCCATGCCTGTTAATGGAACTGGCCCAGGTTCGGGAGGCGGGTGGGACAGGAAACAGCATAGCTCTCCAGCGGCAGGGCTAGTGAGTGCTGTGCGCACGCGCCCTTTCCCTATAAGCTCCGCCTCTGCAGCAGGTTCCTCCCCCGCGCGCTACGTGCTGACGCAAGCGGCGCGATCGGCGCAGTGACGAAATCGGCTGGTTTATATTGGCGCGGCCCAGAAGGCAGAGGCCTCTGCGGCTCGGTCCTTGGAGGCACGCGGCGCTGACCCCTGTTGGTCATGGCCGACTACCTGATTAGTGGGGGCACGTCCTACGTGCCAGACGACGGACTCACGGCACAGCAGCTCTTCAACTGCGGGGACGGGCTTACCTACAAGTGGGGGCATATGGGGTGCACCTGGGCGAGGAGAGGGGCGGCACTCTGGGCGAGGAGGCCAGACGAGAGCCCTCTTGGGAGTGGGCGTGGGGGACAGGTTCTGGGAAGTACCTACCTCGGGGGATCATTTTGACAGATCTGCAGCGGGGGTTGGGTAGGGGTGGGGGGAGGCATCTAGACAGTGCTTGAGATTTCAGGCTAGAGACTCCGTTCTCTGGACACATGGAATTGTCAGGGTGCCAGGAGTACTGATGACAGCTCGGTGGCACAAAAGGTCCCCTGTCCCCTGGTGCTCTGCCTTACTCGTGACACATGGGCTCAATCAGTGCCACTTTCTGCTCTGAGGCCTTCTGGGATGATCTATGGGGATGGAGTCTCATGCTGCCATAAGCCTGAGAGCCCTGCTCCCAACTCACTCCCCTCCCCTACAGCGACTTTCTCATTCTCCCTGGGTACATCGACTTCACTGCAGACCAGGTGGTGAGTATGATCAGGAACTGGGTCCTGAACATCAACGTGTTCTAAGGCGCTGCTGTTGCCTGGTTTCTGGGGTACATCACCAGATTGGTCTTGGGAGTGGGTTTTATGGAACGGTCTTAATGGCTGACATGCAGGTCTTACAGAGCACCTGTTTTGTGGGGGACCTGGTATCACCCTGAGGTATAGAAGGTGCTTTCCCACACTAGTGGAGCTTTGTCTCCTCAGGACTTGACCTCTGCTTTGACCAAGAAGATCACTTTGAAGACTCCACTCGTTTCCTCACCCATGGATACAGTCACGGAAGCTGGGATGGCCATAGCAATGGCGGTGAGGCCCCTAGTATATTGGGGGGAAGAAGCAGGGATGCCAAAGGCATGAAATTGTGCTTCTTATTGTCACTTATTCTTTCTTTTGTCTGTTTATTCTGTAGCTTACGGGTGGTATTGGCTTCATCCACCACAACTGTACACCTGAATTCCAGGCCAACGAAGTTCGGAAAGTGAAGGTCAGACGGGCAAGAATCTTGGCCAAGAGCTCCTGGGAATTGCACTGAGCTGGAGTCGGGTGGGAGTGAGGGAATTATTTTGCTAATTTAGAATCCTTTCTCCCCACTGTGGGGTTCAATTACTGAGAAGAGCCTGAGACCCCATTTATTAAGGCAATAGAAGAGGACTGGGTGGACAGTTCTTACACCCGACATGTCTTGTTAGTGGTGTTGGTGTGATTTGGTTTTGTGGCACTACCAAAAGGGGAGCTAGGCACAGACCTCATGCTTCAGACCAAGAGCCTGACGAAAGTGGTTCAGAGATGCAATGCTCTTTCTTGCCATTCCTTTCAGAAATACGAGCAGGGATTCATCACAGACCCTGTGGTTCTCAGCCCCAAGGATCGCGTGCGGGATGTTTTTGAAGCCAAGGCCCGGCATGGTTTCTGTGGTATCCCTATCACGGACACAGGCCGGATGGGGAGCCGCTTAGTGGGCATCATCTCCTCTAGGGACATTGATTTTCTCAAAGAGGAAGAGCATGACCGATTTTTGGAAGAGGTGGGTGCCATAGGCAGAACACAGCCAAGCTCTGGCAGCCTAGACTGAAGAGTAGGAGGCTTCTGTTGCCCATATGACATGTGAGGGCCTTTTCTGACTCCTTCATGGGTTTCTGCATCCCCTACCCCAAGAGGCTTTCGAACTATGTAAATGCTTGCTAGCATTCATGCTTTGTTCTTTGCCATCCCCAAGGTGAGGGCAGTACTCAAGGATCAACATCAGCCCCCCTCTTCTAATTCTCTTTTCATGGTTCCTGTATGATGATTCTTTCTCCACAGTGTAAGAGGCTGTTCCCTGTAACGTGTTTTTTCTGCTCGACACTCACTCTTACTATACTGCTGTAGGGACTGTTGAGTTTCCTTGGGGAAGGGTGGTTTAGTGTAGGAATGTGAATGTGGTGGACTTTGGAACCTTACCCCTGAGTTAAGAGAGGTCTGATCTCTGACTGGCCCTTCCTCATGGCTCTCCTTCCTTCTAGATCATGACAAGGAGGGAAGACTTGGTGGTAGCTCCTGCAGGCATCACATTGAAGGAAGCAAATGAAATTCTGCAGCGCAGCAAGAAGGGTGAGTCCTAAAGGTAGTAAGGGACCTGGAACTAATGCTCAGGATCCTGATTCTTGTCTTGCCCTGACCTCAGGAAAGCTGCCCATTGTAAATGAAGATGACGAGCTGGTGGCCATCATTGCCCGGACAGATCTGAAGAAGAACCGGGATTACCCACTGGCCTCCAAAGACACCAAGAAGCAGCTGCTGTGTGGGGCAGCCATTGGCACACATGAGGATGACAAGTATAGGCTGGACTTACTAGCCCAGGCCGGTGTGGATGTAGTAGTTTTGGTGAGCTCCTGCACAGGCAGTGTGGGGCAATAGGGGCAGCTGTCATATCACAGTCTGACTAGGATTTCCTTCTTGTCCCAGGACTCTTCCCAGGGAAACTCCATCTTCCAGATCAATATGATCAAGTACATCAAAGAGAAATACCCCAATCTCCAAGTCATTGGAGGCAATGGTAAGGCAAGACTGGGCACTGAAGGATGTGGAGTGGGAGTGGGGGAGCTGGGCTCCCTCCCACCTGGACCTTCACATGAGTCTTTCCGTCTCCTTCACTCTAGTGGTCACTGCTGCTCAGGCCAAGAACCTCATCGATGCAGGTGTGGATGCCCTCCGAGTGGGCATGGGAAGTGGCTCTATCTGCATCACCCAGGAAGGTAAGAATATGCTTTGGCAGGCCCCACATACCCTGGGGCCAAGCACTCTTATGGGAACTACATTGAGTCCTCCAATAGGGGCAACCCTGGGGCCAAGCAGGCCTCTTGGATGGGTGACATGGCTGGAAGCAAGACGAGTTCTTGTCATCCCTCACCTGCCACTCCCCTGCCTAGCCTGGCCTCCTTGCTCCTGCTCTGTGCCCTCTCTAAACTCTGGTCTGTTTGTTTTATTTAGTGGCTCCCAAGATCCCTCCAGACATAAAGTCCCACAGCCCCAAATGCCCTTCTACTGTCACGGGCTGCTATAGTAAGTCCGGCGCGGCCCATTGGCCCGGCCCAGCTGCCCACTGCCCGGCTGCTTGGTTGACTGTAGCTGTAGCTCCCGGGGTTTGTGGTGCTGATGGGTGGGCAGGGCAAACTGATGTACAGACCATGGTTTGGGGGCTGCTTGAGAACACAGCCTCTTTCCCCTTTTCCTGGGACATTCCTAGGGCAGGACCTCCTTCTTCAGGCAGGCCCTGCTTTGTCCACATCTTCTGCGGTAGGCATGGCTCAAGGACCAACTCTGGAGCCTGCTGTCCCTTCCACATGGCCATTCCCTAATCTTGTCTGAGCTGCCCACCATGCAGGGAGGAAGGGCCTGCTCAGTGTCTCTGGGAACTAACTGCACTGTGACTCCTGCCCCATCTCATACCAGCTGGGTGGGGCTTTCCAGGCTGCTAAGACTGCATGTGCCCGAGGCTGCCCTGGGCCCTGCACATATGCACGCGCACACGTAGTGGTGAGTGAAGGCTAGCACAGTTGTTTGTACTGTTCAAAGCAGATGGGGCAGCAGCCATCCCAGACACATCTCTTCTTCAGCCAAGCTGCACTCCTTTTGCAGTTGTAGCCAAGAGCTCCTGGGTGCCCAGTGTGGCCATAGGGTCCCTCCCTGTCCCCACTAACTCCACCCACCCATCTTTTCCTCAATCTCTCAACAGTGCTAGCCTGTGGGCGGCCCCAAGCAACAGCAGTGTACAAGGTGTCAGAATATGCACGGCGCTTTGGTGTTCCTGTCATTGCTGATGGAGGAATCCAAAATGTGGGCCATATTGCCAAAGCCTTGGCCCTTGGGGCTTCCACAGGTGAGGCCTAGTACTCCTGGAGCCTGGTGAAATCCCTTCCCCAGTGCTCCTCAGGCTCTACCCCAAGCATTCCATCTGTTTACAGTCATGATGGGCTCCCTTCTGGCTGCCACCACCGAAGCCCCTGGTGAGTACTTCTTCTCCGATGGGATCCGACTAAAGAAATATCGTGGTATGGGTTCTCTCGATGCCATGGACAAGCATCTCAGCAGCCAGAACCGATACTTCAGGTGGGACAGGCAGGCCAGTTACTCCACCCCAACCCTGCATTAACTCATCCCCATTCTATGACCTTGCCTGTGTCTCTGCCTCTCCCTGCAGCGAAGCCGACAAAATTAAAGTGGCTCAGGGGGTGTCTGGGGCTGTGCAGGACAAAGGGTCCATCCACAAATTCGTCCCCTACCTGATTGCCGGCATCCAGCACTCTTGCCAGGACATTGGCGCCAAAAGCTTGACCCAAGTCCGGTAAGCTTGGGGAGCTGGGACATGGGTAGAAGAGCTGGTATAGGGCTAGCCACCCACATCTGACATCTGCACCTCTTCAGAGCCATGATGTACTCTGGGGAGCTTAAGTTTGAGAAGAGAACATCCTCAGCTCAGGTGGAAGGTGGCGTCCACAGCCTCCATTCGTAAGTAACCTTGTCCTTGGGGGCCTCTGCCATTCCTTATACCCCTCCTCATCCCTCACCTGCCACTCCCCCACCTACCCTGGCCTCCTCGTTCCTGCTCTACGCCCTCTCTAAACCCTGGTCTGTTTGTTTTATGCCCTCACCTCATAAGTTGTCCTTCCACCTACAGGTATGAGAAGCGGCTTTTCTGAAAACAGATCTGCATACCCCCTCGGTTTTTCAATAAAAATTTGAAAAATAAAAAGTGATACTTGATCTTTGAAGTCAGTAAGCAGGTGGGGTTCTGCTGCTGCCAACACCAAAGATGCACACACAGTACCCTCATTTCCAGGGGGAGCCTCAGGCCCTGAGATAAAGGTGTGCTCCATGGACCTGGATGTGGGGGCTGGGAGGGGCAGTTCCAGGTTCAAACAGTTCTGAGGCTGCACACAAACCAACTCTGGCTCCTGAGGGTTTTTTTGTTTTTGTTTTTGCTCTTTTTTTTCCATTTTTCTTTTCAGCTCCTGAGAGGCCTCACACTGAGAATCTAACTATTGCCCCTCCCTAGGAGGGGCTCACACAACAGTCCATGGGACTGGCATCCACAGGGCCTCCTACTAGCCCAAAGCTTGGCCACATGGGACCAGGTCAAGACACATATATATTCCCTAACTCAGATCTCTAAAGAATGTTGAGGTATCCTCAAATCTGCATGTGAGCAAGTAGACAGATCTAGAACAAGTAAATATACTGCCTCCTGGCCTCTGAAGGGCCAGGGAATCCTAAGTAGTCTAGATGAAAAAGTGACACCTAGGTTTCTTCATAGCCCCCAAGAGCCCACTGAGCCAGCAGCCCCTAGCCAGCAAGACACTGATACAAAATGAGAGAAGTGTATAAATTATTAATATGCTGGCAAGCAAGACAAGTGTTTAAATGCCAAAGGGGAGAGGACAGTAAAAGCATTGGGAAACCCTGCAATCTGCAAAGTGTCAGGGCTCTCCTGGACAGCAGGTCAGTTCCTAGTGGTTCATTCTGCAGCTTGGCCTAGAGATGTGAGTGAAGTCTCTCCAGGTGGGGGGATGAGAGCAGCTCCTGTCACTCGGCCTTCATGACACAGGAAGTTGAAGGTGGCACAGGCATTGGGCTGCAAAGAAAGTTAGCATCAGCCTGCCTAGGTCTAAGCCTAAGCTCCATGCAGCATTCCCAAGTCGTGGGGCTTACCGTGTCCTGGACTTCCACAGCGATACCCCGCTGCCTCATGGCTTGCAGCACCTGGGATTGCAGCCGCTCAGTCCGGTCTCCAGTGCCCACCACAACAATCTCTAGGAAATGGAGAGTGTGGCTAGGCTACAATCAGGTCTATTAGGAGGCTAGGGTAGGGTGGTCTTCTGGGGCTCAGAACACCTTCGCATTCCCTCCTCCCCTCACCCCATACCTATCCGGGGCTCTAGCATCCAGAAGAGTGAGAAGCTCTCTTCAGTGATGTCCTGGTGAGATCCCACCTGGGTGGGAAGTCGGCAGGTTCAATATAACAAGCACATACACGCAGCCTCTCTCCCCAGTTCCATTATTGGCAACAGGGAAAAGCCAAGTTAGTCAGGGACACAAGCACGGAAAGGGCCTGTGACGTTCGGCCTTAATTTCCTCACTGTGGGGCAGAACTCACATTCCACTGCACCACCGAGTGCGGGAGCAGAGCGCAGGGCCCGAGCACACGATTTCCGTTGACCGTGAAGCCGCGGCTGTTGTAGCTGTCGATGTACATGGTGTGAGGGGACTCGCGTTGCAGCAGAGAGATGTGCGTCCGCTGATACAACTCATCATCCGCAGGCGATAGCCGGTGCCCACGCCGTGGGGCCCTGCGGAAGGGATAGGGTAAGGGGCGCGTGCCCAAGCTGTGCTGGTCTGCTGGGCCGGAAGGTGCGGGACTGGGGATCGCCGTCCCTGGGGAGAGGGATGGTCGGGGCGCGGGGGCCGGGCTCACCACGGCAGCTCAACAGGCGGACAGCGCAGCCCTGGTCGCGCTCGGTACAGGCAGCGAAATGCGAAAGCAGCAGCCATGGCTGACAGGCGCGGAGCAGGGCCCTTTGGCTGGGTTGTTGGGGATTTAGCGGAGCCTGGCCCAGCGCGGCTACAGCGCCCCCTGTGTCGCGGAGGGTATTAAGCAGCTCAGCCGGCCCAGCAGGCCAGTACCATCTGTCCCAAGACGGTGCGTCCCCCGGCGCGGCTCCAGTGTCAGCACCTGCCGCCCGCCCGGGGTCCCCGCCGATCGTCCCAGGGGAGTGGGACATCTGGTAGCGTGACTGTCCTCAGGGCATTCTCTGGGACGCAGCCGCCTGCACCCCGAGCCCTCAGCCATTACGCAGGACTCCCGGGGCCCGGGGCGGGGCGACCGTGCACCTGGTCGTGTTCCGCACACCTGGCCAGGGCTGGGTGCCAGCCTCACAGGCCCTAATCCCAGGCTTTAGGGCGTCGGGCTCCGTGGGCGGAGCGGGCAGCTCAGGTTTCCAGCGCTGGCCTCCAAATCCCACCCCTCCCAACCGTCACTCGCGCGACCGTTGGCGGCGCAGTCTCGCGCTGCGGGGGGCGTGGCAGCGCTTGGATTGGCTTCTCGGGAGCCCGAGGGGGTGTGGTCAGGTGGTTTCGCCTTAAAATGGCTCCAAGTCTGCGGACAGCTCGAGCAAGCGGAAGGGCACACCGTGGTAGAGCTGTTAGAGCTGTTTGGCTGGGAGTGACCGGGCCGAACCGGACCAGACTTGAATTGGACACCGCCTGGAGCATCACCCTGTCCTCGCTCAATCTGCTTGCGTCCCGAGAGTCCCCTGCTCCCCGCCTTGAGCCGAGTCAAAGGCCTACTGTCTCGAGAGTCGCTGGCGCCGGCGCGGGGTTTGGGTATCTCGGCACGCCGGCTCTGTGGTGGCCTCAGGAGAATATTGTCGCGTTCGCTGCCCGCGGGTCCTCGCGGGCGGGAGGGTCCGTACAGTCGGGGCCTGGCCGCGGGTCTGCCAGGACCAGTCGCAGTGTGCTTCCGGGGGTCTCGCAGCTGCTGTGTGGGCCTATTCGGCCACTGGCGTTCCGGGCGCTGGCAGCGTCACTGGACAAAGGGCCCCGGGCGCGGGGGTGCCCCGTGGCCAACGCGCGAGTTTACTTCCTGTCCGGCCCCGTGGGCGCGATTCCCTCTTAGCGGACTCCGAAGCCCCCTCCGCCACCGTCACTGCGCTAGTGGCCCCAGCTGCGTGGGATAGATAGGATCTAATCCGGATCTAATCCTGATCGGGATCCGGCTCCCGGGGCGGCCCCCACCTCCCCTCCTATTGTTCTGGGGCCCAGGTGAGCGCCTCGTTCCCCCTAGACTCGGTTTCACAGCCTACTCCCGGGTCCGCCTCCTGGGTCTGGGGGTGGGCGGGTTCTGGTCTGGCCCCAGGGCGAGTGACCTGGGGGCAGGAGCCCCCCTCCAACGGCTGGACAGCGGGCAACGGAATCCCAAAAGCAGCTGTTGTCTCCAGAGCATTCCAGCTGCGCTTGGATTTCGTTCCCTGCTCTCCTGCCTGAGCAGCGCCCTGGCCCAGATGGGATGGCCCCTGACCCCCAGACATACTTTACTAGGCCACTCTGGTCTCCGTCCCTCTCTCAGTCGTGCCCTCAGGATGGAGATGGCGGGCGTAGACGTCGGGGAATTGGGGCTGATGGTGGTCATCTCTGGAATCCCCAGGGAGCATTGGCGAGGGAGGGTGGACTCAGGGCCTTCAGTTAGGGCTGCAATGGCGGTGAGTCCCACAGGGCCGCCCCAGCCAGCAGCTCGCTAAAGATAGTCCTTCACTTCCTGGGGAAAAACCACCCCAACCGTCTTCGTGGACCGAGAGTAGCTGAAGTCCCCAGCTCGGCCGCGGGCCTCCAACCCTGCTAGCAGCTGTCTCCCAGGTCGTGGGCCCGCTGCATGGAAAGCGCTTTGGAATGACACGATCACTCCCGTTGAGTAGGCACCCAAGAAGCCATCGGGAATGTCGTGTCCGCCCAGTGCTCTTTCGCGCCTCCCTGCAAGGCCTCACAGCCCTGGCCCAGATAGGGGCCTTGCCAAGCTTTTCCTGCCCCTAGTTTTCCCTCCTCTCGAGCTCTGGACACTGGCATCGCTTCAGCACAGAGATCATGGGATTTCCCAGTGCTGAGTAGGGTTCAATCTCTATTAAAATGGGGGGGGGGGGAAGGTTTGCATTGAAATGAAAACATTCGGGAACCCTCGTGGGGACAGAGGGAAAAAGCTTTCCCTCTGGTAGAGGAGTAGTTTTCTCCAACTGAAGCTTGTTTAGCTGGGTCTTCTCATGGTCACGTTGTTTAGTTGGCCCATAATGGCTCCTTGCCTAAAACAGGAAGCGTGAGGATCGCTGTTAAATTACACCAGGTTAAAAGAAAAACATTAAAAGCTGATAATTCTGGAAACCATCATGATGGTTCTAATTATTACTCAGGTATCAGGAGAAGAAAACCGGCAATTCTATCAAAGTAGGTATTTATTGGGAATAAGACCACCCATATCTCAAACGAGGAAATACTTGCAAATAACCCAAAACCGCCGAATACAAATTTCTTTTAAAAATGAGATTTACGTAGATCCTGAAAGTGACTTGAGTGTTACCACCTTATTCCAGTAGACACTTCATTTGGAACTTTTGATGTCTTAATCAAATGTAAAATGGAAATGAAACGCTATCAGACAAACACAAAGATGTGAGACTTTGATAAGAGAAGGTGCCCTTTCTAAGCCCCCACCCGCTTGCAAGAATCCTTTTCCTGGTTGGTGATGCTGAACGACGGCGGAAGAACCCCAGGCCCAGGGAGGACCCCGAGATTTCGGACCCAGGGCCCGGCAGTGCAGGTGGACGGCGCAAACGGAGTGTTGGGGGCGGTAGGTCAAAATCAGCCCACGCGGCTCCCTATGGCGCACCTGTCGGCTGAGTGGGACTGCCACCGGATCCCCGCCCCCGCCAGTGGGCCCTCCCGGAAGTTCCGCCTCCCGACATTTTGTTTCTGGCTTCCCTCATTCCTTCCGGTCGCCATGGCGACTGGGCGTCTTGGAGTGGGAGACACTCTGGGGGCCCTCAACGCGGCCCTGGGGCCTGGCGGCCCAGTGTGGTTCAAGGAAACACGCGCCCGCCACCTGCGTGCCCGAGACTTCCTGGCGCCGCGGCGCGCGCTACAGGCGCGCTTCGAAGACGGGCAGGTGGACGCGAGCCGGGGGGGACGTGCGACCAAGGGCTGCAGGGAGCTCTACGGCCGGCTCACACGCCCGTCCGCCCGCAGGTGCCCGAGAGTGTGTTCCGTGCCATCGCCTCCCTGCAGGGCCCCTCTGTCGCCCCGGTGCTGCACTGCGTACCGACCCCCGCGGGCCTGTCGCTCCAACTGCAGCGGCCTGCCGTCTTTGAGCGAGTCCTCGGCGCCGTAGCCGCCTATGCCGCGCCCGCCACGCCTGCCTCGCCGGGTCGGCGCGTCGTCCTGCACTGCCCTGCGCTGCGCGGCGCCCCCTGCGGACTCCGCCTGAGCCAGCTGCGTGCCGTGCTCGTTGCCGACCATCTGGCGCGAGCTCTGCGCGCTCACGGGTGAGCGGGGCCGCGGGCCCAGAATGGAGAAGGGACCGCTGGGAGTCTAGAGATCAGCGCCGCCCTCGGGGACAGTCGCTGCGGGTGGGAAGTCGTGGTGCGCTGGCTCAGGGCGCAGGCTAAGGCAGGCGCCCTCTCTTTACAGGGTGTGTGTGTGCCTGGTGCCCGCTGTGCGGGACCCGCACATGCTGACTTTCCTGCAGCAACTGCGGGTGGACTGGCCCGCTGCCTCGGAGAGAGCCTCCACCAAAACTCTGAGGAGTCGCGCACTTGCGGAGCTTACCTCTGCTCATGACGGAGGGATACTGGCCTCCGGCGTCCTAGGCAGACTGTACCTGAAGGAGCTGGTGGAAGAACAGGGCCGTGCAGCTGGCTATGACCCCAATTTGGACAACTGTCTGGGTAGAACCTAGAGCCTAGCAGGGCCAGAAAGGAGGGAGTGCCCTCTGCACTTCTTGCCAGCTTCAGCACATGTCTGTTCTCTTTGCAGTTACTGAGGATCTGCTCTCTGTGCTGGCTGAGCTGCAGGAGGTTGTGCAGCATTGGCCAGAGGACAGCGACCCAGGCCTGGTTAGTGACTCCCAGCCCTGTAGGCCTCTGGCAAACCAGGTATCCTGCATCTCTACAATGACTTTTCTCCTCCTTTATAAGGCTGGGGCCCCAGATGCTGGTACAGACAGCTGCATGGTTGTACATGTGGTGAGCTGTGAGGAGGAGTTCCAGCAACAAAAGTTGGACCTGCTTTGGTGGAAGTTGGATGACCAGGCTCCTCTCAGACAGGTAGGTTAGTGATGGTGGAGCTCCCCCCACTCTTCATCCCCCCAACCTTAGAGGGCCCTTGAAAACCCACCAAGCTGAGAGGTCCAGAACTTGGCCTTGGTGAAGATGCTGCAGTTGAGAAGGCATGTGCGGCAGGTGCAGAGGCCCTGAAGAAGGTAGGGTTTGAAGGCACATCCCAAGAACATTGAAGAATAAGTTGAGGTGGCTGGACTACATCTTGAGGGGCTGTGCTTGAGAGGGAGGCAGTAAACCTGGTGGTTACAGGTTGGGGGAGTCTGGGTGGAGTTAGAGGCACTAGATTGGGCACCCAGAGGGATTTATTGTTGGAGGGTAGTGCCAACTGGGCTGAGCCCCTGCCATCTTCCTAACAGAAGTACCTGGTCTGTGGCCCAGTGAAAGTAGCTGGTGCACCTGGCACTCTGATGACTGCCCCTGAATACTATGAGTGAGTGAGGCTGGCAGAAAGGCCAACCTGAGCCAGGGTAGTTGAGGTGGGGGGAGTCTGCTGGGACCCTGCTCACTGGATCTTCTCTCACTCTTCAAAATGTAGGTTACGGCATACCCAGGTGTGCAAGACCTCAGCACTGAGGCATGGTGGGGATTTGGCACAAGGTGAGCCTGGAGATCCTGGCTGTGCTGTGGGGTAGGGGCTGGTTATTTGCACCCCTGCCCCTTGTTCCTTGCCTGCAGAGACTGAATGACCAACTTACACTCCCTCAGACCCAGCCTGGACAGAGATCTTTGGGGTTCTCTCTGTGGCCACCATCAAGTTTGAGATGCTAAGCACAGCCCCACAGAGTCAGGTGAGCCTGGGCACCTCACAAGGCTAGGGCTGGGTGTACAGGTTATTGTGGCCGTCCTCTCTGCAGCTGTGCCCTCATTCTCCAGCTTCTCCTGGCCCTGGCCAACAGCAGCATCTCCACGAAGGGCACAAAGAGTGGTACCTTTGTCATGTATAATTGTGCCCGTCTTGCCACACTCTTTGAGGGTTTCACACACAGTGTGGAGCAAGGTCTGTACCCCACTTTTCCACCCGTGAGCAGTCTGGACTTCTCACTACTACGTGATGAGGTAAGTGCCCCTCCTGGGTAGCTGACACAAGCAGGAGGCTTGGACCTTCCCTCCCAGCACTCTTCTCCCCGACAGGGTGAGTGGTTGCTGCTCTTCAACAGTATCCTCCCATTCCCTGACTTGCTGAGCCGGATAGCAGTTCAGGCCTTCACAGCCCCAGGACGCCACATCACTGCACACACAGAGACGGTGAGGCACAGATAATCAGGACAGATGCTGCATACTTTATTCTTTATTCTGGGCTGGGACACAAGAGCAGAGACAGGCCAGTGACTGAATCTCTGTCTTTAGGTGTGCAAGTTCCTAGTACAGCTCAGCATGGATTTCAGCTCATACTACAACCGGGTACACATCCTAGGGGTGAGCTAACAGCAAAAGGGGCATGTGTGGGAGGTACAGAGGAGAGCATGATAAAGGCAAAGGAAGCAGAGGATGAGAGCAGCAGGCCTCTTTTCCTCCAGGAGCCTCAACCACACCTCTTTGGTCAGATGTTCGCCCGCCTGCAACTTCTGAGGGCCGTGCGTGAGGTGCTCCACGCTGGCCTGGCTATGCTGGGCCTCCCTCCACTAAACCACATCTAAGGCCACAAAGGCCCCAGTATCTGGGAATATTCACAAAGTCATCAACTAGAAAAGAAACAAAAACCATAGATGTTGTTAGGCGCCTAGAGCCAAAATAAATCGCTTCTGTTACGAAGTTCTGTTCTGTTGTGAGAAGTAGAGCGTACTCTTTAGTCCATCAAGGCAGCACTCTACTCCCCACCAGCTCCTGCTCTCAAGTCGGAAACCTGTGGCCACTGCCGCCTCCTCCCCTCAGAGAATGCTGGGCATGGGCAGAGAGAGTCAATCCCTGCTACACTCTGTGAGCAGGCCCCATGCCCAGCATGCCAGCCACCGTGGGACACCTCAGTCATACCAGTTGTAAACCTCAAGCCCCTGACCCCCAATAGCACAGCGGTGGCCAAACTCAGGGCTCACAGGCCAGCAGTCCATGTCAGCTACATCTGGCACATGGTACACAGTGCTGTTCATGAAGGTGGGCTCACCATGCCCCAGATGCCAGAAGGTCAGCCGTTGGTCAATGGAGACTGACACCATGAGCTGTGGGCTTAGGATCTTGACACCTGTCACATGGGCAGCATGTGCACAAGGGACAGAGTATTCCTCTAACACACGCAGCTGAGGTACCAGCTCAGGGCCCCCCACAGCTTCTTCCAGCTCTGGCATCTCCACAGCAAGCATGAAGACATGGAGGGAGCCATCCTCACCGCCACTAGCCACAAGATGGTGGCCCTCATGTGTGGCCAAGATGTGCAGGCTGTTGACACCACAGCTGTGGGCCTGGACAGTCAGGCAGGGGGTGCCCAGCCCTGGAGGAAGAGGATGGTTGTCAGGGACCTGACTGCCACGTGTGAGGGCAAAATGAGCAGTAGGGAAGGGTGGCAATGTCTGCAAACTAGCTACTCACGGTAGGGAAGCCCAGGTTCCAGTGGAGGCTCCAGAGCAGTGGAGCCATGATCAAGCACAGTGGTGAGATCCCAGAAGGCCAGGCTGCCATCGGTAGCTGCACTGCACAGAAGCAGCCTCCTGGGAGCCAGGAAAGGGCAGCTAGCTCAATGAGAGGGACGAAGAGCAACAGGAAGCCCCAGCCAACCCAGGCAGGACTATCATTCAGCCCATCTCACCGTTGCTGGTTGGGTGCATCATGTGTAAAGGAGTGGACCTTGAGGACACACCGCTTATGGTGGAAGGTTTCAGCGAAGAGCTGCAGAAGCCGCCCAGAGTCCTGCAAGAGAAAAAGCCTGGGGGGCGATAGGTGGCTCAGTTCAGAACCCATCCTGGACAACCTCACCTCCTTGGTCTCCCCAACCCCTGGGCCCTATGCTCTCACCTTACTGCCCCATCACTACAGGCTGCAGCCACAAGGGGGCCAAGGCCAGGCTGGTCAAGTTCACACACAGCGAGGGACATGTACCTGCAGAGACAACATATAGCTGTCAGGTAGAGCCTACAAGTCTGGGGGCATCTGCACAGGGCTTACCCTCCATGATCCCAACCCATGCCCCTGCCTGACAGTGTACATTACCTGGTCTCTGGATCCACCTTGACCATCCGATGTCGATTGCGCTGCCGGTCCCAGTACTCATCTAGCCGGTGGGACGAAAGGTGCATGACATGGCAGGCGAGGTGGCTTGGGGTACTGGGGTCTGGAGTGATCATGATGCTGAAGCAGTGCATCTCGGCCCGCCCCCCCGCAGACACCACATGGGCAGTCAGGCCTGGCCGAGGATCTTGAGGGCCACCTGGGGTGCTGACGCCCCACACAGTCACAGCACGTACGGAGGAGATGTGGTTACAAACAGCTGTGAGTGCATGGGCCGAGCCTGTGGCTGTGGGGAGTGCCAGGACACAGACAGTAGTGTCCTCACTACATGTGATCACAATGTCAATCAGGCCAGGCCCCTCACTGCCAGGCTCCAGGTAGTCAGGCTGCATGATGCTGGGTACCTCAAACTCAGGCCCTAGAGTGATGGTGCCGACACGCTTCACACAAGTAATCTCACGGCCATGTAGCCCCTCCCGGAGAATCACGTGTGGCCGGGTGCAGCCACCCAGAGCCTGGTAGAGCATGACATCCCCATCCTTGAGGTAGGCAAAGGCCATAGCTGCCTCAGTATCAGAGAAGGCCCAGGAGCGGTGCCCTCCACCACAGTTGATGATGTGCAGCTTCTCGTGAGACCGGGGGCTCCACACCACAAACTCATTGGCGTGGAAACCCAGGATGACCATGCTCCCATCAGGCACCATGCGGAGCCCAGCCACCCAGTTCATGCCTCGACAAGACTTCTGCCTTAGAACTGGCTGCAGCTGGCCGCCTCGCACAAAGAGCTGGTAGTAGGCACCATCGCGCCCTGTGGTGTACACGTAGCCACCATGGCAGATGACCGAGGTCACACCCTGCTTCCCATGCAGAGAAGGTAGAGTAGACACAGGGCCCCACCCAGCTAACACATTCCCACCACCAGCACAGTCACCACCCGCTCCAGGTGCCCCAGCAAGAGCCCCAGCCTTTCCTCCAACCCCAGGGTCCCTGAGCAGACCTGGTCTGGAGGGGAACAGCAGCACGGAGCCCCGGCGGTCCCCACACACCAAGAAGTCACCTGGGGGCAGGAAAGCACTGCATGTGTGCCATCTCTGCTTGCTTGGGGGCAGGAGGTACCGGCAACGTTCCTTGACAAAGATGGCCTTGCCAGAGGGTGCAGCTGAGATCTCCAGGCAAGCCACTACTCCACTAGGGCCTGATGCCAGCAACAGAAGTTCCTCATAGCCACGCAGGGCCCAGCTCAGGCTGTGCACCTTCCCAGGAAACAGGATCTGGTCCACAGCAGCAGTTGGAGTATTGATGGGGACAACCTTGACACGACCCTCCCCATTGGCCATGGCGCACAATCCAAAGCCCTCAGGACCAGGAGCTGCTTCCAGCAGGCAGTAAGACTGGAAGTGCTTATCTTCTAGCAGCTGCTCCCAGCACTTGACCTCGACGTCATAGAGATACAGGGCCCCTGTATCAGTCACTGCCAGCAGTCGCCAAGAGCCAGCTAGCGTCACAGCCTTAAGAGCACCTGGCCTGCTACCGGACTTGAAGCAGAGAGCCGAGACCCCCAAGCCTGGGTACCCACGCCCTACCAGGTGCCAGAGGCGAATGCCTGAATCATCACCCCCCGTGATCACCCAGGCCTGCCTCTCATGGGCAGCTATGGCCCGGATCCCACGGCCCTGGTGACCCCGAAAGGCCTGTAGGATCTCACCTTCGTGGCTCCACACCAAGCAGACGCAATCCTCTCCTGCACTGATAAGGTAATTCTCCAGGAGCTTGACCTGCCACACACGGGCACTGTGCCCAAAGCAGTGACCAATATTCTGCACCCGACCCCCAGGCACCCGCAGGTCGCCCACCTTCCAGATGCGGACACTTCGGTCTTCTGAAGCTGTAGCCAGCAAGCCCTTGCTTTCCAGGTATGACATGCTGAAGATGATGCCCACATGCCCACTGACACGTCGGTCAGGTGCCACAGGCTTGTTGTCTATTAACGCAGCTGCTGGGTACCAGACCAGGAGTTGGTTGGAAACGGCACCTGCAACTATAGTTAGCTCTTTCCAGGTGTCTCCAATCAGGCAGGCTGAGGAGAGGGTGCACCTGTCCATGCAAGGCACCTCCTGCAGGATGCACCCTATCACAGGGTCATATAGCACCACTGAGTTGTGGCCCAGGGCCAAGGCCAAATTGCCTTCAAGCCAGCGTGCATCCCATATCCAATCAGACATGTTCCACAGACCAGAGCGCCAGAGCTCCCGGAAGCAGCCCTGTCCCCAGCTAATTTTCACAATTCGGAGTCCCTTGCTCCCAAACACAGCCACCATGGCCTCTGAGTCAAGATCTCCATTGGGCTCTGGCCGCACTCGGAACCCATGGACGAGATAGTGGCCAAGAAGGTTCTGCACGCGCTTCATCATCCGCAGATGCCCACCAAAGTCCAAGCTGTACACCAGGATATCAGGCCCCTCACCTAGACAGAGGTAAAGAACCACATGAGAACCTGTCATTTAACTCTGATGATCCATGGGGAAGAGTTGGGGGGCAGGGAGTCTTTTCAGCATGTAGTCTATGCAGCTTGAGTCTTGGAAAATCCTTGGTTTCAGCTCCATCTCCCCTTATCAGTTCAATCACAAATTCCTCAAACTCACAGCCTCCTCCTTACCCCACGTCACTTTCACATTTAATCTTCAGCCTCATCTACCTCTACATGCATCCTTCCGGATTTCCAGAAGCCTCTTTGTATCTCAGAAGATGTGAGCATATTCAGTATCGACTGGGAGAACTATGAGAGGCAGCCCACAGTTTAGGAGCAGAGGTTTGGGCTTGAGTCCTAGCACTTCTGCTGGCCAGCTGTGCGAGCCCCCCTTCTGTGTATTGGAGGCTTAGGCTTAAGAAGTCCCAGCATAGCAGCAATACAAAGAGCCCTCAGAAGGAATAAATGAGCTATGGCAATCAAGAGCCTAGACAGGGTCTGGCACATAGCAGAAACAAAAAGAAACCTCTTTTCTTGCTTCCATGATGTGCATTCTCCTTGTTTCCCTGCACCCCTTTCTTAAGGGACTCCCAGAGGATTGCTCAGCACCTCCCTCCACATAACTCACATGCTTTCTGGGCAACCGCATACACCTCATCCATGTGTACAGAAATCACACACTCAGATCAACCCAGATCTCTCTAGAACTGGACCCTCAACTGCCTCCTGGCCATCCTGCAGGCACTTCTCACTCAAACTCATCCACCCAAGTTCTCTCAATGTTCCTCATCCCAGTGATTGTTACCACCCTCTGCTCATTCCCCAGCCTAAAACCAGGAAGCCCACAGATTACCCCTCTCTTAACTTCCCACATCTTATCTGTCTCCAAGTTCTGTAGATTTTATTTTCTAAGGAGTTTGCAAATCCTCCCCACCACGTGACCCTGGTTGAGGCCATTGCCTCTTACCTGAGATGAGAGCAGCAGCCACTCACACCACTTCCAGCCTGCAGTCTCAATCTTTTGACATTCAATAAACATTTGTTGAGCATCGATTATAAACCAGACAGTGAACTAGAGGCTGAAGTAATGAATAAGACAAGCACAGACCCTGCTCCTATACATTAG